GTCTGTCCTCCCAGCCTGTCGGTGGCGCTGTGTGTGGAGGGACATGTCTGTCCTCCCAGCCTGTCGGTGGCGCTGTGTGTGGAGGGACACGTCTGTCCTCCCAGCCTGTCGGTGGCGCTGTGTGGAGGAGTTTGAGGAAACACTTCCTGGTTGAGAGAGGAAGGGAGAGAGTGAGTGTGGAAAACAAAAACAGAGGGAGAGAAGAAGGCAAGTTGTGGAACAGAAAGAGAAGAATGGAGTGAGGAGGCAGGAAAAAGAAAGGGGAGAGAGATAGATTGTAAAGCAGAAAGGGAAGGAATAGGAGAGAGAGAGAGAAAGTGAAACTGAAACTGAAACAGGGAGAAAGAGAGAGAGAGTGAGTGAGTGAGAGAAAGAAAGAGAAACAGAGAGAGTGTGAGAGAGAGAGACAGGGAGAGAGTGAGAGGGAGAGGGAGAGTGAGTGAGTGTGAGAGGGAGAGAGAGTGAGTGTGAGAGAGAGAGACAGGGAGAGAGAGAGAGGGAGGGGGAGGAGAGAGAGAGAGAGAGAGTGTGTAGGTGGGAGTCAGTGATGTAATACCATTTAAAGAGAGGGAGGGGAAACAGGTAAGTGAGTTATTGACCCACACAGCGTCTCTCTCTCTGTCTCTCTCCTTTCGTGCTGACACTGTGTCCAATCCCCCTCTCTCTTTCTCTCTCTCCTCCTAGGGAGTCGCCATCGAGAGGTAAGGGGCAGCATCAGCTGTCATGACCGAGGACAAGGGGCAGCACCCCCTGGTCCTGAGGGAGCGGGCAGTGTTGGCGCTGACCGCAGGCCATTCGCAGGCGTTGAGCGCCCTGCTTCAGGACATGGTGCGGGCACGGTGCCCGCTGGAGGAGAAGTACCAGGAGGTGGATGTGACTAAGGTCCTGCGCGAGAACGTGGCGGCGAAGGTGAGCCACCCCGTCCCCGTCCCCGTCCCCGTACTCCCTTGCCTTGCAAGCTGCCCAGAATGTGTCTACCCATGCTTTATATTCGGGATTAAATTCCGTTCGACATACCACCCGTCCTGAGGCCTGAGGCTCTCCTCCCACCCTGCAGAGCCAGGTCTGCAACCTCCCACACCCGGCTCCTGATCGGTTCACGATCCAGCACCAAAGCTTGGCGATACGCTTCCACTCACAAAAAATATGCTTCAGCCCTCACCCTCTGCTCCCCCTCCCCACCCCCGGCCTCCTCGGCCTGATCAGGAGCAGTCGCGGGTTTGGAAGGTGCTGCCCAAGGAGCCTCAGCGAACTTCTGCAGTGCATCTTCCAGGCCATAGCATCCCGACGGTGTGGGGAGCAGGCCATTCGGCCCGTCGAGTCCTCGCCCACCCTCCAAAGAGTATCCCACTTCTCCCTACCCGATTCCTGTAACCGTGCATTGCCCCCATGGCTAGCCCACCCACTACTAACTGGCACATCCCAGGGCACTATGGGTAATTTCCCATGGCGAACCCACCCATCCCTGAGCACTATGGGTAATTTCCCGTGGCTAACCCACCCATCCCTGGGCACTACGGGTATTTTCCCATGGCCTACCCACCCTCACCCCGACAACCCTGGGCACTGTGGGTAATTTCCCATGGCTAACCCACCCTAACCCCCACATCCCTGGGCACTACGGGTATTTTCCCATGGCCTACCCACCTTAACCCCCACAACCCTTGGCATTGTGGGTAATTTCCCATGGCTAACCCACCCATCCCTGGGCACTGTGGGTAATTTCCCATGGCTAACCCACCCTAACCTGCACACCTTTGCACTGTGGGAGGAAACCCACGCAGACACAGGCAGAGAACAGGCAAACCGCCACACAGACAGACACCGGCAGGGGGGTGGTATCGAACCTGGGTCCCCGGGACTGTGAGGCAGCAGTGCCAGCCCGCTGAGCCACCTGAGATGTTACACGCGCTGCTGTGAAATGTTAGTATGAGAATGACGGAGATCTGGCTGATAAGCGTGCACCGGGAGGGAGGGGACTGTTGCTCATTGCCTTGCCATTCAGCCCGAACTCTCACCCGTTTGTTCTGTCTCTCTGACTCCCTTGCACTCCCGTTGCAGGTCCAGCCGAACGAAGGGCTCGTCACCATCAGCAGAGCCTTCAACATCCTGGAAAAGTATGGGCGGAACCTGCTGTCTGAGCACAAGCCCAAATTCTGGAGGGCCGTGAAATTTAACAACCCGGTCTTCAAAACCACTGTGGATGGAATCAACGTAAGGCATCATGAGGCTCCAGTCAGTGTACAGATATCTCACTGAGAGAGGGGGCACTGACGGACACCAGTCAGTGTACAGATATCTCCCTGAGAGAGAGGGGTTGGAGACAGGGTTGTTAAATTTCACGGCCCTCCAGAATTTTGGCTTGTGCTCCGGCAGCAGGTTCCGCCCAA